GGTCATTTTCGTGACCTCACCATTATAAGTCAATGGGGAAAAATGAAAACTGCTATTCTGGCGCCGGGAACGATCTCCAACTATCTCAAGCACACAGAATCGTGATTTGATGCACTCCTTGCAAGGTTAGATGCGTCACTTTTGCAATTTTGACCTTGCGTGACGTCATTTATGACGTCATCAAGGTCATATTAGTTTTTCGTCAATAACTCTTGATCAAATTGAGCTAGCGAGTCGAGAAAGCCACCAATGGATTCAGGAAGACCTGCCGAATCGAATGATATGCGATATGACCTCTTTCGACCAACTTCGTGACCTGGGGGTGCTGACCTGACCTTGACCTGAGGTCAACACCCAAAGTTGACCTGACCCGGACAAAAAGTATATCATTCGACGCGCCTGAGCGAGGCGAACACGATGCTGCCAAAATCGCGGCTCTGCGGCCGTTTTTTGCGAAGTTATTCACCAAAAACTGAACCGTACCCTGGGGCACTTGACCTGACCTCAGAGGTCACCGGTTGACCTAGGACCTTAAAATCGGGTACCAATCTCTGCGTCTCGTAACGGCGCACACGCTCGTTTTTTCCGCGACGCGCTAGCTCCACCAGGGGCGAAACGGCGAGGGGGGGTCGTACCCGCCCCCCCCCCCTCGGCCGGCGCGTATGTAGAAAACCAATAGGTCCGGCGAGGGTTAAAGGAAATAGGCGATTCTTCAATACCCATCCATTGTCATCCATCGCTCCTCTAGCATGTGATACCTACCTACCTTGCAGAATCGTCGTCACGAGTCTTTGACAATCATTGAACGAGTACGCCGCCTAAGACCGAATAAGTCAATATGGCATTGCCAATAATGAATAGGGCATTGCAATTATTTGCACGTTCACCTATTTTCGGCTAAAACAGTTAAGATCACTCTCTCGTTGATGCTACACAACACAACCATTAAAATCGATCATTACAAGGTCCCTCTGACTAGCACGCGCTTTATCAACACCTACACTCTACCTACACTGAGAAAAATCCTGACTCCGCATGACACCCCCAGGGGGAGTTCACCAAAACGACACCCCAAAACTCCCAGGTGGTACTCCTCATTACACCCCCTCCAAAACTCTCCATTACACCCCAAAACTTCCCTCGAGAAACTCTCTGTAACTCTCCCTACCGTTTTAGAAAACTCTTCATTTCTCTCCTTTACCCTATCAAAACAAACAACACACTCCCCGAAACTCCCTTCCATTACTCTCAATGACTCTCTTACAGCCTCATAATTACTCCCGATTACTCCATTCCATTATTCCCCAAAACTCCGTTTACAGCTTCATGGTATACCTCTAGTTAGTCCCCATCAAACTCACCCAAACTTCCCATCACTCCACTCCAGCCCCCCCCCCCCCCCGAAAATAAATATTGGACGAATAGCGTAACCACCCAAAGCTCGTGTACCGGAGCACAGATAAAAAAATATATATTTCAAGAAATGTGTATTCATAGTCCGGGGCGATGGGAGGCTTAAAAAATTGACAAAAGCTTTCGACATCCCGCCGCGGCACGCTCTCCGGGGATCTCACACCATATGCTACACGGTCGCGAGTTTTGATGTTAAAAATCCAAAAGGCGGCCTACCACAGCAGGAATGCTTGGTCTGGTGGTGCCGCTACCACCTCCTGGGCCTCGACGAATACTGCGTCTTCTTCGTCCGGCTCTCCTTTCACGATGGTGGGATGGATATTTTGCGGGCCTCCGTTGGCTTCCGACGTGTCTTGCGGGATGCGCTGCAGGCTCTCCAGCTCATCCCCTGCAAAATGTTAATAACCATGAAATTATAGGCACACTTAACATTGCGTGGGAGGAAATGGGGGAGAAAGAAAAAGAGAAGGAGGGAAATAATGAAGGAGGGAGGGAGGGAAGGAGGGGAGGGATGGAGGAAGGAAGGAAGGAAGGAAGGAAGGAAGGAAGGAAGGAAGGGAGGGAGGGAGGGAGGGAGGGAGGGAGGGAGAGAGGGAGAAAGAAAGGGAGAGAGAGGAGAGGGGAAGGAGGGAGTGAGGAAGGTAGCGAGGAAAGATGGAAGGAAGAAATGAGGGAGGAGACTGAGAGGTAGGCAGATGAGACAAGATGAGACGAGACGAGACACACGCGACCTGACGTGTTGGCACTGATACTGCATTTCGGCACATGATGTCAAAATAATGAAAGCAAGAGATTGCAAAGTTAGCATACTTTTTATGCACTACAATTTTGAGAAAGTTAAGTTTCAGTGAAAGTCTAAAGGGCAAGTTAACAGCCTCCATCTTAGTTGCAGACACAGTAGGGAAATGCTATAAAACGTACTTGAGCGCTCAAAAAGTTAAGGTCGCTTAAAATAAGCTAAGGACGTTATACGCTGCATAGGTACCCATGTTAACATTAAAGAACAACAAGTGGACAATAACAATAGGATCCATGACGTGTAAAGCTTGTGTAATCCTAACTTTCCAATTTATTCGAGGGAAATGATGAATGAGATTTGCCAATACCTAGAAACACAGAGCATGCTGTTTCCCATCTTTATCTCACTCGGGAACGAAGCAAATCAATTACCCTTACTGAGACCATTCCAGCCCATCAAGAACATGGCGTTACCATATGTTCTCATCACAGCATTATAACACTTTGCACTATAAAAGCATGATGAGAAATACAGCTAAGCTTACCTTTAAATCCAAAGTAAGGTCCAATTATAATCCGTCACTGTATGGTCAGGTCCGTCTAAGTCAACACGCTCTTCACTAACACCTCGCCCGCCGCCCCGCACAACGTGCTGTATACTACGCGCAAAAGATGGCGGCCACCGGCAGCCTCGCGACGTATGCTAAAACCCCTTCGTAACTCCCCTTTTACTCCTGTCGGAACGTTCGGGAAAAGTTTTTCGGGAGTAATGGAGAGTTGCGTCACAGAGTTATGGGATGTCACACATGGAGCTTCATTTCGCCATCCATTAAGAACTCTTGAAAACTCTTTCGCAAAATGAGGAAGGTTCAAAGTTACCCTAGAACACACTCAATAACTCTGCTGGAAAGGGTGTTATCGATGGTTTTCAGGAGTTTTCAGGGGAGCATTTTCAAGAGTTTTGACCCATATGGAGTCAATTTTTTTCTCAGTGTACAGCATGCTCCCATACCTGCAACCTTAAATCTATCACTCAGCATACAACCCGAGCGCCGGTTAATTGCCTGTCGACTGAGCCGTGACCCTACCTGTTAATCATAACCAATTAACCACCAGCCTACCGGTGACACTATTCTGATCGCATTTTAAGCATGATTTGTGGACACATGGCCGCAACGCCCTCCATCAGGCCCTAATGCGTGCAGCCGACAGCAATGGCCCAGTCCGGGGCCGATTACGCTCGGCGCAGCGTCACTAATTTATGGCGTCAGTGGTCCCGAGTCCGCCGGGGATCTAGCTGTGAGCGGCAGCGCCGGGGGAACCGCGACGAGAAACGGGCCATAATCCACAGCACACGGCGAGAAGCGGGCACACAACTGACATCATTAGGCGCACGTATTTCACGAACTGGAATGTCGGGCTGTTGCGTTCTGCGATATCAGGAGCCGGGCTGTAGCCACACTCGCCGCATCTCGAACCGTAATCTGATCCGATAATGATCGATGCGATCGGCCTTAATTTGATCATGCGATGCTAGACGGTATAGTATGACAGTCATTGGGAGCATGCGGAGCGCGGCCCGATCATGTCTAGACATTTCTAAGAAAGGAACAGAAATCGCACCTTGCAAATGTCAAATAGATGCATTAGGAGAAGGGAGGCACGCATGTCAACCTGCCATCTTATGCAACGAGCATCGGACATAACGTTAGACCTTAGAAGATAACGTTGCATTATTTTGCGCAGAAAGCCAATGACAATAATCCCACACACTGATGACAGCCTTTCGGTTTTAAACGAATCGTCCAATATACCAACGATATCATCAGCAAATCCATTCGAAATCATAACGAAGAATTTCAAACGGGACGGCTGAGCAATGCAAAGACCGACATTCCCTGGAAAGGTATGCAGCTACTGTCCAATAACGTGGAACCGCTGTCGCCCCGGCCGGACATCATTCTCAACCGTCGGCCATTGGGCACGAGAGGCCAAAGCGCGGCCAAGCGGAGCAATTCAGCCCTCGGCCCCGGGCCGGCCGGTCCGACGGGCGACAGTAATTTGAGATCATCGGTCGGCACGTGTCCACGCGGAGAGATCGGTGCAGCGACAGACGAGACTTCAAGGAACAGACAGACGAGACGATACGGCGGTCACACATCAATGACAGAAGAAACGTCACGGACCATCCCTACAGGAAACATAGGAAGCACGAAGGAAATTGATAGGAATGCGCGTTTTACTGCTAGTTAATTGCTGTCGTCGTCATTATCGTCTTAGTTTAGTTGTTATGCCCGTTTTAGCTTATATGCATATGGAAAAAGTCAACATCAAAAGTGTCAACATCATGTCACACATCAAAGACAGACAAGACGTCACAGACCATACAGAACGGACCGTCGAAAATGGGTGGTCAAATGTGACCCATAGGCCTTATGACCCGTCCAAATCCAAAGAGGTCATACCCCACCAAAAGCTCAAATATTCCATTGCAACATATTCCAACCGTTATTGTTATAAGTCAGAACAAACAGACAACGAAGCGTTTGCCGACGGCTATCCTTCAACGATGCGCTCGATGATTCGGTGATGGTGGTTTGGGTTTTAAGGACGCCCGGACTGCGGTGTTCATCGGCTAAGGATCGACTCCAATCGATGATGTGGTATCCAAGAACCGAGCACGACCGACCTTTTCTGATGTAGACGCGACAGTAGTCGTAATTAGCAATAGGTACCACGATAGTTCTTCCAGCAATAGATACAAATATCATACATATTCGCAAGAACGACGCGTGAGCTGTTGGTTACCCGCAGTTACCCATTTCCGACCAACGCCAGGAACACCAAAATTAAAAGAAGCAAGCCGTATATTGTGAGGTCATTGACAAAAGAATACATGAGTTGAAGCATCCCTAGAATAAGCACGATTAACACTCATCACACACCTCATCGGTCAATGGATTACACAAGATAATAAATTATACTAGATAACGTTAGCGGTACATAAACGGGCACCCGTCGAGATCGGGAAGGGACACGCATGTCGGGATATTCCAACACAGGATCACCACATCAATACACATCCTGCCCGCGATCGTAGCGCCCGTTGAACATATGTGATTAACTTGGACGACAGCAACAAAAAACATATGAACAGTGATTGGTGAGGGTACACATTCATTAATACGTGGATCGGAATGTCTGCATCAGAAGTACACTAGTGGTACGCATTGGTATCGATTAGTTGTACATTCCGCAACATCGCGGACATCAAGGCGTCTGGTCGGTCTGTGTGAGCAGAACACAGCCCGTGCTCTTCGTCAATAGTCCGTGGTGTTCGTCCATAACCCGTGGTCTGTCCCAGTCTTTTGTTTGCCTCCACAGTCCGTGTTCTGCGCGAACAGCCTGTGATCTCCCCCAATTCGTGGTCTACCCCCACAGTCAGTATCCTGTCTCCACAGCCCTTGGTCTGTCTCCATTTCGTGATTTGCCCTACAGTCCGTAGTTTGCATCCACAGCTGTGAGGACAGACCATAGCTCATGGTCTGTCCTCACAGCACGTGGTGTACGTCCACAGCACGTGGTGTACGTCCACAGCACGTGGCGTACGTCCACAGTACGTGGTGTACGTCCACAGTACGTGGTCTACCCCTACAGTCCGTGGTCTGCGTACAGTCCGGCTGCTCGGCAAAGTCCTAGGTCTGCCCCACAGTCCGTAGTCTATCCCGCAGCTCGTGGTCTGTGGCCACCCCTGGTCTGTCGCTTTCAGTCAGTGGCCCATGACTCCCACAGTTCGTAATTCGAGCCTATAGTTCACGGTCTGTCCCCAGAGCCAGTGGTCTGCCTCCAAAGTTCGTGGTCTATCCCCACATTCCCCAGTCCCACAGCCCGTGACCTACCCCCACCGCCCGTACCCTACGTCAACAGTCCGTAGTTTGCGTCCACAGTCAGAGGTTTGCTCTTAATAATTGTCAGTCCCCACAGTCAGTGGCATACGCTTATAGCCCATGGTCTACCCCACAGTCCATGGTCTGCCCTCTCCCCCTCGGTTCGCAATCTAACCCACCGTCTGTAGTAATTTACGTCAACAGTCAGAGGTATGCCCTTAGTGGTCTGTTTCCACAGTCCACACTCCATGTCTGCCCCACAGCCCGCGGTCCACGCCCACAGTCGCCGAGTGGCTCGTCTGACATGGATTTCCCTGCCCTGGAGTCGCGCTCGAATGACTATCTCACTCATCCACGGGGTGGATCTCCAGCACCCGCGCCAATGACTCGATATCACAGGTGGGCTGGCGGCGACCGCTGGGGCTCTCCCTAAGCACGCACACAGACGGCTAACCGCACACACAGGCGGCTCGCGGCTCGCGGCCATAGACGGCTCGCGGTCGCAACTCACCCACGCCGCCACCGCACACAGTCGCACCCGCTCACCGCAAACCAGGTACTCGGCACAGCTGGGCCAGCTCCCGGGCCGACGGACAGACGCCGAGACCGGCGCACCACGGCCGCTCGAGTCCCTAGAGTTCCGCCCGCCAGCGCCGACCGCACCGCACCCGCCGGCGGCGCCACGTGGCCGCGTGTCCCGTGCGGCGCACGTGGCGGAGGCCCGTTCACGTGGCGACGGGCTCTGTCAGAGAGCCGTACTGGCCACCCGCGCCGGCCGAGCGCAGCGGTCGTAATCTGCCAACAGTACCTGGTTTGCGTCGCGTTCCTAGCTCTGTATCTCGTACCTGGAAACGGGCCGGCGTCAGTGGCGGCGGGATTGGGACGCGGGATGGTCGTGGTAGTTACGTTATTTACCGGCTGTTTTTACATTTACATATATGCATACATTTCCTTCAAACATCTCTATTTGGGAGTGAGGTCGTTAATAGCATCACACAATGTAAATCAGCCTTTGTTTTGTTTGCTGTGACTAAAAATATTCTCACCCAAATCTAACATACCGTTTCACACTTATCACGCCCTAGTCACACTCAATACAAGTTAAAGCCATATTGTGGTCTTTTAAACAAAGTAGCAGTGATTATCAAAATTAACCGCTACCAGCGATTGCTAGAGCTCCAACTAACGCACTACATCAGAGCGACCCCATCTCACGACGAAAGTAGGCACGGAGAGCTGAAGCACGCAGCGAAATTTATGTCACGTCTTTAGAGCGTCGGCCAAAGGTAATTTCCTATTCTACTTTAGACCATCTCCCCTTCAATTTGGTGAACCGTTTGTAGCGATGCTGATCTCGAGCCCACAAGAGCGGCCCGGGCCAAATTCCATCCGAATAGTTGATCACGCATCTAAATGAGATCAGCGTAGATGAGCCCGAACCCTTGTCGGCCGCTGCATAAATGATGGTTTGCTGAAAGGATACGCCGCCAGGCGCGGCGCCATAAGACGATGAAAGTAGTTGACATCATTGTGGATGTGCTTGCCGGCTGAATGAATTATGGATGCTGTGACAATGCCACTTTGACTAGGCATTAACAGCGTTGGAACCATATGTTCAAGGCGGTATTTACATACACGAGCGAACGAGGCGCACTAAAGGCTAAACTCGGGACTAGTGCTGTGCAAAAGTCAACTCGATGAATCAAAAGTAGGACTTAATTGACATCGGACGGAATTAAAGCACCGTTATGTCGGATACTAACTTTACCATTTCCCATCAGTTATCACCTACGCATTTGTGGGCGACTATGTATGGTGGAAATCGATCGACTTGAGCGCGGCGTAGCTACAGCAATAGCTATTCGCTCATACGTGACTCGGCTCTGACGCTAACTCACAGAAGCCAACGGGCATCCCTGTCCCAGATGTGGGCGGAGACCGGAACGAATAAACCGCTTATAGCTAGCGGTACCAACACGAAAGTTAACCTATATAAAATTATAGAAGACAATAATTATGATAAATCAAAATAAGTAAATCAAATAAAAGCAAGCAAAAAGCGTATAAGAAAACAACTGAACGTGGGAAAGGGGAATGCCACTGACACTAGCACCGCAACCAAGCAGAGATATACAAACAAACATAGGAAATACAACCGAAAAAATACAACACAATAAACGAAAAAGAAGAATGACAAAATTGAGGAAAACAAATTCATAAATTCCCAACTTACTGACGTAGGAAAAGTGATATTGGTCAAATTCATTTAAATGACGATGGGCAACAGACACTGACGAAAGCTGTAGAACTGTTATGCACGAAAATCGCTCTACAATACAAGAGGAAAATAATCAAGTAGTTCTTGGTAATAACTCAAAATGAATGCAAGGCTATGAACTATAACTACAATCCTTAGTGGTTGTAAAACAAGTCTAAAAACAAAGTACGCATCCAGAAGGTTTAAACATGCAGCTACAAACAGGCAGGCGACTTCACAAAACAGGAAGAGAGTCAGACGAAAGACTCTCTGACGAAACCCGACGCAGCCTGACGGCACAGCCACCAGGCATGCGATATTCATCACTGTCATGCGTGCTTGTTTGGACGTCACAACCTCTTCCGCGTGCCCTCACAATTTTACATTACTAGCACAGGCAAAAGGCGGCCGCAGTGTCACGCATTACCCCAGTCGCAGACGCACATGCTATTACATCCGCTCGTCCACACACACGCAGGCACAGCCCAGCCATGCCCGACCCTGTGCGCCTTATCATCGGCACCTTTCAGTCGCCAGTTGGTGGTACGGCATGCCACGTACGATCAGGGCTCACTAAGGTTGGTTCGTAAGCATCAACGCACCAGCGTCCCATCCCAGCCACGAGTGCAGTTCTCGACGGCTTCACGGTCAGTGTCAAAGTCACCGCTAATGCCGAACTACAGCCAGGTTGGTGAGAGCCACAGCCAAACCAGCGCCGAGCCAGCGCCATGCCAACTGACCAGCCCCGAGCCATGAACAGCCACGGCCGAGCGAGCGCCTTGACTAGCCCGAGCGGGCCGCGAGCCGAGCAGCACCCAGCGCCGAGCAGCAACCGACATACAGCCCGACATACAGCCTGTTCGCACCGTCTGCTCGGTACAATCAGTGCAATCGGCATGTCTCTGCATTACCCGGCAAGGGCAATACAGAGACATACCCAGTGTCGGGCGAGCGCCCCGGCCAGCGCCGGCGCCAGCTGTCTCACCCGTCTGCCGGCGCCGCGGGCTCACCTGGGCGACTCGAACAGCAGGTGGCCGCGCCGCTCTGCCAGCAGCACCAGACCGATGGCTAGCAGTGTCACCGTCAGACCCAGCAGCAGGTGCAGCAGCTCGTGGCCCAGAGACGGCATCAGGAAGATGCGCAGCTCGAAGCCGATCCACTGCGACTCGGCCCAGGTCGGGTGGTCGCCGGACGACCAGTCGTAGTCTGACGGAAGGCGAGGGTAGGTCAGAACACAGGCCAGCAGCAGGGCAGGCCGGACGACAGGCCCCTGGGCACTGACAGGATGCTTAACAGAAGTTTGTTCGGCGGGGCAACTAGGTAGACATTGGATAGCTGATGGTGTAAAACACGCTCGGACATATCGCGATTCACACCATCCATCCACCGTCTTCCCAGCTATCTACTCAGATATCTTTTTTAACCCAACTGACAGGGTATCTCCGCACTAACCAGGTATCTCGCCGCACTCACCAAGCATCTCTCCGTAGTCCGTACTCACCATCCATCTCGAAGGCAGGACTGACGGCGCTGGAGAGCTCCACCAGAGACCGCGTGCAGTATCCGCTCAGTGTGCCGTTTTCCAGCTGTCTGATCAGCCAGCGGTGTGAGTAGATCCGATCCGTGTCGTTACGGCACTTGTCAGCGTTTGTCACGTTCGCCAGCGTCTCGCCCGTCCAGCGCGACAGCACGTTGTGGGTCAGCCGCATCAGGTACGAGTGCATCGTCGCCTGGCCTGCCACCTGGTGGAAGAGGAGAGAGTTGCAAAGTGGTAGGGAGGCCCCGGCCGGGTGGCGAGAGGCGAAGAACAGTGAGCGTGGGAGGGCAACGGAGGGCCATATTGTCTATTGATGCCTTCCAAGGTTAGATGCAGACACGTGGGCAGAATATAGGGGCGTAGAGCATTGAGGTGAAGTCAGAAAGCTTACCCAGAAACAACCGTGCCAATGAATGGAAACAGGCTTTTAGGTCAATGCACCTAACCCGTCCCACACATTAATGATTCAGTTTCGATGAATCCTCGGCTCTAGCTGGATGGAGGGGTAGCAACAACAACATAATTCACTTTAAGAGTCCGGGCAGGTATACATAAAGGCCTCAGTCTTCAACGACAAAGCCTAAATTTATTGCTTATCCATTATTGACCATTGAGGTCACCAGTCGAGAGCCGTAATTGACCGTTGCGCCTCTCGGTATTCTAGCACAAGCCAGATGAGCATCCAGCGGCGACACACCACCATCCCATACGTACCGACACATAGGTGGGCAGCGGCCTGTTCTTCTGCCAGAGCCTGGTGAGGGTTTTGTCGCTCATCTCCGAATCCATGGCGTCTCTGAAGAGGGAGCAGTTGGCACGCACCAGGTAACACTCCAGCAGGTCGGCCACCTGTCGGGGGGAAGAGGGGGTAGTCACTAGTCAGACGCAGATAGGTGCTACGACAGGGATGCAAAACAGACAGACGGACAAAACAAGTCGGACGAATAGATTAAAGTCAGGGACGCACAGACAGATGAAGGTTAGAGACGCGAAAAAAAATCGATTGTAGTGCCCTCAAAAGCCGACTTAATTTATTTTCCTTACTTGCTCGTTTTCCTTTCCATATCTGCAACTCCCCTCCAAAGCTAGACTTGTGAGCTTCTCCTCTCCATGCCTCCCTTTCTCACACCCGCTCTCTCCTCGCATCCCTACACCCCATTTCGCCCTCCCACTCGGGCTCCCCTCTCTCTCCCTCTCAATGCTGTTCCCAGTAGCAATTCCCTCCCCTCCGCCGCCTCACCCATTTTTTATCCACAGTGACGTCGGGCGCCGTCTGCCCGGTGGCCAGGCCGTAGGCAGCGCTCGCCACCACCTGGGCCAGCCGGGACAGCCGGTCGGCCAGCTCCGTCAAGTCGCCACCGGTCGACACTGTCGAGCGTACGTCGTACACGCTGTGGAAGAAACTGACGAGCGGGGGGAGGGGGGAGAAGTTAGTGGTGTAGACATCAGAGGCCGAGGGGGAGGGATGCTGAATCTATCGGATAGCCAATGATATCTAAGCAGGACAGAGCTATAATTGTTGAGAGCTCTACGGCGTATGTTGCTCATATGACAGTGACTGCCTTGTTCGGACAAGTGACAAATTTGTATTGCTTTATAATCGGCATTATTAGACAACATTTTAACCCATTTTTTCATTGAAAACATCATGTCTCTAGAATAAAATTGTATCGCTGAACATCAATAGGATCCTGTTTCTGTTAGTAGCTTGATCCAGCTGCCAATCAATATCAAATTTATGCAAAGTTCTCGGTGCAATCACTTTGGCGCCGAACACTTTTCTTCCCACAGGACTGTGCCCCCATGGTATTTGCGGAAATTGTTAGCAATAGTTCACCTCACTAAACTAGTACATTGCTGAGTGATTTAGATTGCTGTTAACTTTCCTACAGTACTCAGTGCTGCCACTGGCTTGCTCCGAGACGGCGGCGTGTAATCCAGCCCGTCTGCCGTTACCTGTTAGTGTAGCTCTGGTTGTGGTCGGTCACCACCAGACCCGGCACGGTGTCGTTTCCCCTCAGCAGCGCGTGCAGAGAGGAGGGCGGCAGCGGTGTGCCCGGCGCCGGCTCTGCCAGCGGCACGTTGTACCGGCCCGGGTCGGCGTAGGTACGCAGACCGTCCATCAGCTCTCGGACCTGGGTGGAGGCGGTCGGATGGTCAGAGCAGCTGAGCAACCCTGATGATGATGGTGATTTGGTGTTCTAGGGCGCACCAACAACGAGGCTATATGGCGAACATAACCAACCATTCTTCTTCAAAGTCGGGGGTTAAAAATCACCTGAAGCCCGGAGGCCGTGATGAACGAAAAAAGGCGAGAGGAATCAAGCAAAGGGGAATCGTCGCAAAGAAGAGTTCTCAAGAAGAGCTGGGGGCCACGCAAGCCCAAGAACCGCAATCGCTCAACGTCCAGTCTCGGACACTCGACCAAGACGTGTCGACTGAGCGACCCTGACCAGTGGATACCGTCACACTACAGGGGCGGTCAGACGAGCCATTCTGATCGACGAGTTACAAGGCAGAGCTTATTAGACAGAACACATGGTACTTACACAGCACAGAACACAGCACAAGTCACACATTCATCGATGTTATGTTATGACCGGTGGTGATTTTCTTGCAAGCCCCAGCAATCAACTCCACAATAGAACTTTCGTCAAAGCAAATCAGCGCCCCAGTGGAGTCAGGACACATGCGTCGGAGTTTTATGCTCTCAGGCAGCTTCCCTGTCAGGAGTCCCACTCCAGTCATTCCTCACGGCTTACCTTGCTGTCCACCTGCGGGTTCTTGCGGCGAGTAACAGGATCCGAGTGTAGAAAGAGCGGAGTCCCTCGCGCTAACTGGTTCAGCTCCAGGTAGTAGCTGACGTTCGATAGTCGCATTGGCGATGGACGTCGCTTCGAGCCAGCCTTCTCATCGTCAGGGACCACGGCCTGCGGCGGGAACTTGCCCAGCGACATGTCGTACACCATTCGGTCCGAGCCGATGTAGTCGAAACTCTCCTGGAAAACGGGAGGGGAAGGTGACACAGAGCAGGGGAGAGCAGTGGCGAAACTTGAGAGCTTCTGATGATCGGTATTACAAGAAGTGTGCCAGTGGTGATGGAAGACTGGAGTCAATCGACGTGTATTGTGGAACATATGAAGCATGGTTATTGGACACAAATTATGCCAATTAAAATACGTCACTAGTGGCAGTAAAATGAAGTACCGGCTCTGCTTCCTTGTATCTAATTTCATTCACGATCCAACCCGAGCACAAATGAAATAGCTAATCATTACGAGCGAGCGAGCGCAGCGAGCGAAGTGAGTCTTTTCAATGACACGGGAAAATCTCAGTATGAGCGGCCCGGCCCAGCACGGCCTGTAACGCTTTTGAGAGGCTTATATCGACACCTTTTTTTTTAAACCCCACATCTGCTCTCCCGTGAATTTCCGGGAGGCACGAAAGATCTCCTTTTAAAAGTGTCCAATCGTCCCATCCTGATCAAATATGTGTGTTCGTAGGCCTGTTCTGGTATTGCTTTATCTGCCAAGACAGACAAACTTGAGAAAAATCGAGTGATTGTACCTTTTATGAAGGTCTCTAACCAACTTGTCTGAAATTCACTGGAGAACAAATGTGGGGTTAAAAAAAGGTGTCGATATCTCAGCAACCGCTGGACCGATTTGCCTGCGGTCTTTTTTGTTGGGTAGCCCCATCCCTTCTACCCCGTAATTGACTACTTTTGATACATCTCAGTGACCGTCGTGGCATGCGCCACGTGAAAAGTCAAGGGTGTTCAAGCTGTTTTGCAAAAGTAGTGATTTTGAGAGGCTCATATCTCAGCAGCCGCTTGGGCGATTGGCTTGCGGTAATTTTTGTAGGGTAGCAGCATCCCTTCTACCAAAAATAGGATACTCTCGATGCATGTGGGTCAACCCCAGTGCACGTGCAAAGTACAACAATATGAGGTGTCAAATTTGTTCCCATTTTAATAACTCGGTAATTACTGGGGCGATTTCGCTGAAACTTGGCATACAGGTAGGCACCCACCAGACAATGCATTCCCATGTGTTGCGGTTAAGGTGCTACTGCACTTGCGCACGTGCAGGGGGCGCTTCCAGATCTCGAGAACGGCTGGGCCGATTGAGCTCAAATTTGGTACACGGTTGGGGACCAGTTAGCAGGGTGCCGTGCAAAAGTCAGTTTGGACCCCGTTTGCACGTGCGCACGTGCAGAATGCCGCTTCCAGATCTCAGGAACGGCTGGGCCGATTGCGTTCAAATTTGGTACACCGCTAGCGACCGGTTAGAAGGGTGCTTTGCGCAAGCCCGTTGGAAGTACCCTCTCGCCCTTCCGCACGTGCAGGGCTCACTATCTCGCTCGCTCGTTCTTCGCCCAAAAGGCGTTTTACTGGTGTATTAATCTCAGGTCCAAATGTCTAACACATCACAAAAGCAACAGCGAAAAGCATACATCAACGCAGTGTCCCAAAATTGAGTTTTGTCTTGGGTGTCAGAGGGGAAAATTACCCACCAAAAAGAGGGGAGAGAGTGGAAAACTGCTGATTCGATTAGATCAAAAAGGAGTGAGAAATGACAAAAAGCATGCATTTTATTCTAGGGTGTAGAATGTTTGATGCTAACTGGGCATCCACACAGCTCTTTCTATAGGTAAAAAATCTATGTTTTCTTGGTTGGGACTTGGGAGTGGAAAATTGTTCTTAAAAATGGTGGTGAGAGTGGAAAATGAATTTCATTTGGATGTCGTTTCCCACCCAAATAGACAAATTTTGGGACATTGCATCAACGGACACATCTCCATCAAGGGACACATCTCCTATCTCTCCCAGCCGTTGGGGAAACTCACCCCGCTGAAGAGCATGAACATGACGTTGGTGTTGGTATTCTGAGGCGGGGCGAGGTCGGCCATGGCTCGTGCGGCCGCCATCAGGGCGACCATTCCCACCACGGCTGAGTCAGCGCCGGGCGCCAGCCGGTCGAACATGGTGGCCCCATCCGTACGCGCCGCTACCAGCACCGTCTCAGCAGCCGGCGCCGGTGCCGCAGCCGGCGGCAGCCAAGTGCTGAACAGGTTGGTGGAGCCCATAGGCGAGCAGAACGCGCCTGTCTGTGTGGCCAGCAGGTTCTGTCTCTGCGAGCGTCGCCAGCAGATCTCGGAGTTACCGGCAGCTGACATGAAGGTCTTCATCTGGGCGGCGCAGCGCGGCCACGGCCCCTCCGCGCCGGCCGAGTTGTACTGATGGTGGCACTGCGGTGGGGCGGGGGAGATGGTCAGAGTGAGGGGGCGGGATAGTACCGGGCTATTGCACAGAAACGACAGCCGGTCGGCGAGGTGGCAGCTCACAATGCACAGAAATGAGAAGAACCAAACAAAATGGTAGAAAACCTGCCCCGAGGCCCATCATCACACATAACATAATTCCTCAGAAAATTGAATTCCCTTCCCCAGCAAATTCAAATCAGGAACAGCATGAGCACCAAACATTCTACCAGTTAACCCTATCCCTTCCGGTCACAGCAAACCAGAAACAATACACAGACCAGACTCTGATCTGTCCGACCGTCACCTACCAAGGCGTCAGGTCACCGTATCCCTTCTGAGGCGCTCAGTAACACATCCAGTGCCCCCCCCCCCCCCAGCACGTAAAAACACACTCTGTCCCTCCCGTTGCGTCGCCCCTGGCCTCTCACGTTCACAAGGTCATCGATCTGCGTCTGGTTCTTCAGCAGGATGATGGGGAAGCTCCAGCTACGTTTGAACATGCCGGTGCCGGCCGGGTTCCAAGGCGTCTTCGGACAATAACGGAACTCGGCCGAAGCGGGGTCGGACCGGTAAAAACCTGGTGAAACAGAGACGATATTCACAACGGAGTCAGCCAAGGGTTCCAGCATGCCTAGCGACATATGCTTACGAATGAACAAAAACTAAAATGCAGACTTATCAGCAAATAAAGCATGCAAGCTCAAAATAATCTGATTGACCAACAGCCTCGCAAAAATACGAAGAAAAATGGCTTGTCTTTGGTCGCCGACTTATGTTTTCTCAAACAATGTTACGAGGAAAGGGGTAGGGCTATTTGATGTCTCCTTTATATGCAATGTGTAGCGTTCCAAAGAACTCAGATGGCTTCTGTTCTTCGCTGCTAAGGTGGCAGACAGCATGACAAGGTGGCATCCCAAGTGACTCATCAGATCCATATCCCGGCTCTCAGTGGATATCGGAATTCAGAGCTGCGGCCGCTCTTAGCACGGTGGCCGGAGTCACTGCGTGTGGCGACCCTCGCCCCTCCCCCTATTTCTGACGTCCCCAGCCGCGCATCACAGCCGAGGGAAAGGTGCTGCACTCCGCAGAGATGTGTTATCCATACAAAATACCCCGTCCGGTAGGTATGCAGTTGGCATTGAGAGCTGCGGTCCGCCAGGAGTGATTGTGAAAAAAAGCGCTGCAGGGCAGGCTGCAAGCGGTCGAGTCCCGCAACATGCACAATATCTTCCGGTTTGTGAGCAATGTTCAATACAAGGTGCCTTTTAAATAGGCAACTGTCATTCAGAAAATGCTGACATTACGTTATTGTGACCCAAACTAAAATAAAACAGGCTTACATGTCAATAAATCAGCATTTAGCCTGCTTCGCTGTACGACTAAGCTTTCTGTCATAGGCATTGTGAGAAGTGATGCTAAGACCGCCTGACCCATAGTGGTTACTCAAAGCAGATGCATTTGGGGCCAGGAGCAAGTAATCCCAAATGAAAACATAAACTTTACAAATGTTGGACGACATATTATTCGCATTTTGCTTCGCATGCCACGAGAGTACTTATTTTCGCAGCAGAAAGTTTTAGCAGGTGCAGTGAGACACGCAGCCTGTTTGGCTATCCCGCCACGGCCAGTGACCCCTCCCCTCCCCCGCACCGGCCTTGGTCTCCGGCCGGGGGCTGTGTGGGAGAGAGAACCGGCTGGCTGGGGATGGGGAGCCCGCCCCTCTGCACTGGGAGACCCCGCCTCCCTGCACTGAGAGAGGTGCAGGGGAGCAGCAGGGAGGGGAGAGGGGGGAGAGGAGAGAGTGGCCAACAGCACCGGTCAGCCGCTCCTCCGCCGGCCACTCTGGCAGTCAGACGTAACCCGCCGCCGCAGTCGCCGTCTCCCAGCACAGTCCTGTCACCATGAGGGTCCTGCTCGCCGTGGTTATTGTTCTGCAGGTGAGTAGTGGCCCGAGATATCCGGCTCGCAATGCAGGGGCATTAGGTTTTGAGGACTAATCACTGACTTGTGTATGTACAGCGGAAGATAGAGTATGATACTGTGCCTGTGATAGATGATAGGTGCGATTAGGGATAGGTGATCCATGATAGTGGCTATATGCACGTAGATATTGATCTTTGTGTGTTTAGAGCAACGAAGCGTACGTCATAACAAGCCATTAGCTACATGTCTTGAAGAGAAAATCATAACGATTCTTACGTCAACCAAGCATTACATAACACTTATCCTCATCGCATATTTTTGGGTGAGACTGTAACTAACTATAATGGTCACGACAAAAATAACAGCCACTTTTATCTTGAATTGGTTCGCATCTTCGACGTTTCGCTAACGCATTAGCTGCCGATCACCTTTATGACTTACGTTTTATTAGGAAACCCTACAGGGATTAAAACAGAATAAAGATTAAAAGGCCCCATAACGCGGAACACTTTTAGCCAAATACGCCACCGAGGCACTGCCCAGCGCCCAGACGCCCAGGTCCTAGTTAAAGCACAAGTCTGATTGTGCAAAACATTAAACCATCACATGCTAATTGCTATGTCGACACAGCAAACAGCGACTGCCTTTACCATATCCCGACCGTCCCGAACCGGCCCAACACTCTCCCGAAGCGTTCGTGTGGCGATAGGCTATCCGCCGGGGCTACAGCTGACTGGTTTATATCGACACTTTGCGCAACCCAAGGCCGCTGGCTGCATTAGTGATGCGGCACATGTACCGACTCCGCGTGTCACAGACGTTTGACAAGATATAGTACCGGGCGGTACAAGTCACCAACGTTTGAGTCACTGACAAGGAGACGCCAGTGCATGGCAATTATTGGCAGATACGCGACAGCTTGAGGCCAAAAGTCATCCTGATGCATCGTAATTCTTGCACTCCATTCAATCATTTACGGTCAAACATTTTCGGCACACAGGTGTGCTTCTAGCCCAGCTAAAAGTAAAGCTGGTGTCCCGTATTTCTGACGCAAAAATGGTCGGGACGAAACTCCGCAGCATATTGCTTGGCTTAAACAATGTCTCGCCATTCTTTCCTGTTATCACTTTGCTTTTTGCCGATATCAGCCGTGTTTCATTCAGCGCCACTGTACTTAAACGTGATGATCAATTAACTTCAGTATACCTGGTGAACTGATGTACATAGATCAGTGCAGCATCTCCTCATGTTGCAGGGAGCACATCACCGTATTCTAACCAGCATCTCCCGTCTTCAGCTACGGTGTTTCAGGCCCCGTATTTCAGCCCTCCGTCTTTCAGCCACCGTGTTTCAGTCGCCGTGTTTCAAACCCACCGCTGTGTTTCAGCTGCTGTCGCTGGCGCTGTCGGCCCCGCGGTACTACATCACGGTGGCGTCCGGCCTGCCGCCGCCCGCCGAACAGCGCAGCCGCTCCTCCCTAGACGCCAACTCGGGATTCGTCATCACCGTGATCCAGCCGGGCGGAGGGGTGCAGCCGCAGCAGCCGGTGACACGGGACGCTCCGGACGCCTGAGAGGGGACAGGACCGGCCGACCGACACCGCCGGGTTCCGCGACACAAAGACTGACCAACAACACAGCAGAGTACAGCGACAAACAGTCGAGCCGGGTTAAGGAGCGACTGTGGAACGAACAAAGCCACATCACGGAGCGAGCCGAGTCACGGAGCGACTAGCATGAACCGAGCCGCGTGATGGACTGAGCCGCATCACGGAGCCGTGTACTAACAGATCACTTGTAGAGGGCGAAGATGACGTCCTGACTCATGACTGATGCAGCTAATTGAGAAAATGTGTGACATGTGTAATTGCATTGACGTGTATTGCGAGGTTTCTTAGTGGAATTAGTGACAAGGGTAGCATTAATACTTTTGCTCTTCGAGTACAGCACAATACTTGTAGTTCAGAGTGTATTGGCAGTTGGCAATGACTAGCCAGCCTGAATCATCTCCGTTCATGGTTGTATTTATCCCTCTCTCGGAGATGTGATACCCATAATCGTTTCATTCATGAATCCACTGGCGCTTTTTCAAGAATATGCATGGTCATGGCCCAAAGAAACTTACCTTTGCGTATGCAGTTTCTCACCATTATGCCCCAAAATATACAGATGCCATGCATGACCATTAACAAATATAAATTTACATGAACACGGTCCCTGTCGCCTCACTGACGCCGACGTTGCCCACCATAACGAATAAACTTGCGTGAAACCATGCATTTGTGCTCACTTTGGTGGTTCAGATTTCAATGGATCAAGCAAAGACATAATGACGTTAAATACATTTTTGACGAAAAACATCAGGCGAAGCTTCTGCTATCGTAGGAGATAAATGATCGCTTGGCCTGATCGAATCTGCACCGTTTAACTGCAATATCGCTATGGCGAAATTAACATCCTGATATTTTTGAGTTCGGCCTTCCACGAGTGTCTCGTTCTTATGTCTCGGGAGGGGATAGAATCATGTCAGTGTGACATCAGATAGGGAGGGAGATGGCCGACAGTGTATCTACAGAATGATGTTCCACTTTTCACAGGCAATTATTGCCTGGAGTGGTAGGCTGTGGCGCATCACACGGGCCGAGTTCACAAATTATAGCTTTGTCCCAATGCTCACAATCGACACGCTTAATTGCGTGATAAACGGCGCAACTTAGCACTCCCGTTAACCCGGCAGTTGCTGGGGTATTTCGCCACCCACCGTTTGCTGGGGGGGGGGGGGGCGTTAAACGCCCCCAGCCGATAACTCGAGAACCAATAGGCGCAGCGAAACGCACGAGGCGGCAAACGAAAGAGCGCGACGAGACGCTTCAGATGAGTACTTTATTGTTGAATTTTGAGGTCACAGGTCGGGTCAAGGTCAGGTCAAACACCTGAAATCGGGCTTTCAGTAGCATGGACTTCAGGACTTCGCAATGGGCGCCTCTCGCCATATACTCTGTCAAAACGGTGCACAATCCATCTTATAAGGCCTACAAGAGTGTCAGCTCCATGTAGGGGTCAGTCAAGCATAGGTCAGGGTCAAGGTCAGGTCAACTGGATAGGCACATATCCCCGAAAATCAAAACTGATATTCGCAGCCTGTGACACATGTTTTATAGGTGATTTGGGGCGTAGAACACGATGGGGACATTTATTTTATCATATGTGTACGTGTTTGGCTCAAAAAGTTCAATTTAAGAAATTCATGTATCATGGTCGTGAAGTAGTCACGAAAAATTGTCAAGATTCAGTTCAAGATTATGGAAAATGCGGAACCATAATCAATAATCGAAGATAGCCATTTGATTGATCATGGTATTGGCAGTCTAATGGCGTTTACAGCATGTCTGTATGTCTATTCTGTGATTTTATATGATTTTTTGAACATATGCCGTTTTTGGTCGAAAACTCAGAAATCATGACGTCACTAAAACCTCGATATCTCAAAAATTTTCCGACCGATTTTTTTGAAAGTTTGTCACAATAAACTTCAATCAATTCCCTACAGGTACCCAAAATTTGGCGCGCCTGCGGCGCGCCGTTTTTATGCTATGGCCCGGCGAAAAAAGTGGGGGCGTTTAACGCCCCCCCCCCCCCAGCAACTCGCGGGTTAACTGATAGCTTCTGAGGAGTGGAACATAATTCTGTAGTCGACTATACAGTGAAAGTGTGCGACGATCGGTACTCACTGGACCAGCGGTTCGGGCAGCTGTCATCCTCAGAGTACTGAAAGGCCTCGTCCGGGCCCCAGTCCTCGTCGGGTAGCATCAGAATCACGCCCTTCACGTCACCTGACAACAAACACATCACGGCGTCAGTACGTCAATTCACGACAGCGGGGAGGGGTGAGTAGTACAGACAGATTCGACACGGTGAAATGTTAGGAATACTACCGAGCCGATGTCATTCACCAACAAATCAAAAGCCCCAGTTCCCGTACCAACAAGTCAAAAGCCTTAATGCCCGTACCCACGGCGGCCGTTAGGGCGGACGGAAATCACTAATTACGACCGGCCTCTGGAGTCTGGGACTGACCCCAGTAGCTTGGAGTTGAGTCGGGCCCGGTGCTTGCCCTCCATACAGTCCGCCCTGAACTCAGCCCAGTTAGAGTCGGTCCCCGGCACCCACCCTTGTAAACGTCTGCGCCCGAGCTCACCACAGTGTGGGTGAATCGTGGACTGAACCCACCCCGAGTTTCTGAGTCAACTCTGGTCGGGGTAGCCCCTCCCGTCTATACTCTATCTGCACCCCACCTCACTGGTCTGTGTGGTCTGCGCTCTATCCCGTAGCCATCCTGGGCCTCGTTTCATAAAGCGAGTCCGTAACCTACATCAGTTTTTGGTCTTGAATTGCAAGTGCATGTGAAGCGATGACGATAGTTTCAATCGTTAAATTTATTTATCTTGTAAGCAAGAACAGAAGGGAGAGGGGGAAATAACTAATCGCTTCACATGCGCTTGCAATACAAGACCAGAGACCGTGGTAACTTACGGACTCGCTTTATGAAACGAGGCCCTGGTCTAGGCTCGGTCCATCCCGTGCCCAGTGCCCACCCTACTCGACTGGTCGTGGTCGGCCACGTAACCCGAACCCATCCTGGTCTGGGCTCAGTCCTTCCTGTACCCACCATGGTCTGTGCTCTGCGCTACCCTGTGCCTACCTCGGCTGCGGTCTCCCCGCAGCCTCCATCCGGCCCTGTCCGGGGTCATCTAGCACCCACCCTGCTACCCTGAACTCACCCTGATCGGGGTCGGCCGTCATCCTCTCCAGTCGCTGCAGTGTGTCCACGGTGAACCATTGGCGCGGCACCACGGCCACCACCGACTGCCGCTCGCCAGAGGTCGTCAGCCGCGTCAGGTCGGCACTCGAGTTCACCACTCGCAGTAGGCCCACGTTGCCGGTGAAGTCGGCTGGAGTGCAGAGTAAGAGGAGTCAGTTATAGGCAATGAAGGGGCGCAGAGTGGTGTAGGACTACATGAGTGAAAGACGTAGTCATGCGATCAAAGCAGACGAAGGCACGGATCAAATCTTTGTTCGATCGTCCACAATCCACATGGTATAGGTTGAACAACCCGCCTTTTAAGGTCCATCTCAGTACAAATTGACAATGTGACAGGAAGCAAATTTGAGACAAATAGACAATGTAGCATTACTGCACCAAAAGCATAGAAGTTTTATAGCAAGCCTATTGAGAAGCAAGAACTTATCTAGCCTCCCGTCTACCCTAACCCAAGTTCATCAGTGGTTAGATGTGACAAAATGAAAGAAACAGAGTTACCTCTGCAGCCAAATTCATGTGTTCCATTCAAAATCTTGAAGCAGCTGTACGTTGCATCCAGATCCTGGTAAATGGACTCCCAGATTCGGTTGGCTGTTGCTGTAGCAAATAACATTTATCAATTATATTGCATGTCTAACTAATAAAATCATTATTTATTGTCTTTGGGCCGCTTCGGCATAGGTATTATTCTCATACCTAGCTAGACAGCAAAAACATGCAAATTGTCAAACACCATAGTTCCGAACATATCATTTCTCACGAGCAGTATCGACTCATCAGTGAATTTTAGGACTTAGGCTTATTCAAAGAAAATGAGAAATGGACAAGCATTCAAAATTCAGACGACAGGTACCAACGGTGGGAATCATCTCTTACAAAGTTGACTAGTGTGTCAGTGAACTTATTTTAAATGTTTGCCAGAAAAATGTTGGCAGAAAAAATAAGAAACATATCTACAGCAGCAAAAATGGATATTTTCAGAGTAGGTACCTACCTTCACTTGACAGTAGAAGAATTGTTGTCATCCATATCAGCCACATAGCAACCAATCTTCAATAAGGTTTCCTGGGACACAATCGCTGGCACTGGAGGTTCAACAACAGTTAGGCTATAAAAAAGATCTAATTGATCACCTGGACAAAGGACCAGTGAAGCTTCCTGAAAATAGGGGCATGCATAATTAGATACCTACTTAAGAGAACAGGTGATTCAATTCAACACATCCCTGCTTGTCCAGGGCAAGAAACAATGGTCAATGAGCATTGACTATAAGAAGTTATTTAAATCTACCACATTAGCAACCTGAACAAAACATATTGTACCTGGGATTGTGATGCCTAAGCTTTCCTATCAAGGCCTGCATGGTATTTCTGCATAGCCTGCATTATCTCAACATCTGTCACAGGTCCGCTGACTCTTAGCCCACAGACTGTAGCCATGCCTTGCCTTCAACCTGCAAGCCCAGTTCCCCAACCCACAGGTAAGGTTGCAGCATAAATGTGACATGGTAAGATTCACTAGCAAATAGGCATACTAAATAGTAAACTCCTGCTCAACTTGAGACTTTTCCCCATCTATTAACTTCTGCAAAAATGGTAGCTTATTAGGAATCATACCTTACAAATCCTCACCATTTAGATAAGAATATATCTTTTATTACAATTATGACTTAAGTCATAACTCAGAGGTTAACAAATCCAAAACTGAGCTGCAGAGCACAATGAAAACTGAAAACTGTAAGGCAGAGATAAATTAGCTCATACAACACATTTTATCAGATTATGTATCACAGATTCTTTAAAAAAAGTTTAGATGTTCATTGGATCACCAGCATCATCAGTTTAAGATGTCTTGACTATACTGCAAATCCGTACAGAAACCGGTAGTTGTTGCCTGTGCTACCTGTGGTGTTACTGTCATCAATGAACAGGGGAGTGATCCTGGTATTACAAATTTCAAAACAACTAAAAGTGTGATCATGGCACATCCACCTTGAATTGCTTGTTTAATGCATCATTCTCTGAATGTAGGTATGTGGTCTGTATTGTGCTCGTCCCTAACATCACCCTTGTGAATTGACATTGACATGCAATGGTGAAAAGCCAGCATGCTGTTGACTTATTGTTAATAAATGAGTCTGAATCTGAATCTGAATTGGCAGCAACCCTAATTGCAGGATAAGAAAATGGTTAAGGTATCATCCTGTAGTGTGGCGAATTCCACCAAGTGGAAAGTCCAATCCCCATCACCATGCCGCCTGCTTTTGCTACGTGGGCGCTGTCCCCAGGTCAACATTGCCAATTGTAACATTTAACGGCATCATTTTACTTCATTAAATAGCATGTTGAAAAATAGAGTAAAATAAGTGAGATGCTATGAAAGCAGCTACACCTATAATAAAACTAAAAAAAACTCAAAACATCTTCAATTTATTACGGAGCGAGCGAAGCGAGCGTAGTCTTTCCTTAGATTAACGGAAATTTCTGAGTATGAGCGGCCGGCCGGCCGGCCGGCCGTGGTCACGCTTTTGCGAGGCTTATATCTCAGCAACCACTTGACCGATTTACATGCGGTAATTTTTGTAGGGTAGCTTCATTCCTTCTACCAAGTATTGGACTATTCCCGATGCATGTGGGTGACCCCTTATGCACGTGCCACGTGCAAAACGAAGAGGTGTCAGTTTTGTAATTGTTGCAATATCTCGGTAACTACTTGGCCGATTGCGCTGAAAGTTGGCATGTAGGTAGGCACCCACTAGGCAATGCATATACATGTGCCAGAGTTGGGGTGCTGCTGCACGTGCGCACGTGCAGGGGTCGTTTCAAGATCTTGGGAACGGCTGGACCGATTGCGCTCAAATTTGGTACACGGTTAGGGACCGGTTAGTAGGGTGCCGTGCACAAGTCAGTTGGGACCCATTTTGCACGTGCGCACGTGCAGGGTGCCGCTTCCAGATCTCGAGAACGGCTGGGCCGATTGTGCCCAAATTTGGCACATCGCTACAGACCAGTTAATAGGGTGCCGTGCGCAAGTCAGTTGGAGGTACCCCCTCGCAATTTCGCACGTGCAAGGCCCACCCTCTCGCTCGCTCCGTTAGTCGCCCCAAAAGGCGTTATACTGGTTCGTAAATTTGTTGTCGCTGATGAGCAACTACCTAATTCCTTGAACTTAGCACAATTATAGTCCTAAAATATTTACATCTGAAAACGCAGATATGAATATGTCTATGATATCAATTGTTATTATCCGCACGGTATAATAAATAATAATTGAAATAATAATAGCCGACGCAACGCCTATACCGCTATCAACACACGAAAAATTACACGCGCCACTTTTGCCGCGATACCGTCATTTATTTTTCAAGATTATATCAAAAGACTACGGACTCTTATGATAAATTACTGACGTCATAAGTACTTCTGCTTTTCTAATGACGTCATTATGATGAAACGATGCATTAGATTAGATCTATTCGGAAGTTTCAAACATGCTCAACGCTAGATGACAAATGGAGTATATTCGTTGCGTTCGGATGAGGTCAACTTTAGGTGTTGACCTAGGGTCAAGGTCAGGCCAGAGCCCCCAGGTCACGAAGCTGGTCAAGGAGGTCATGTCGCATATCATTCGATTCGGCAAGACTTCCTGAGTCTATTGGTGGCGTTCCCGACTCGCTAGCTCAATCTGACCGGAAGTTATTTGCAAAAAACTCTCATGACCGACGTCACGCAAGGTCAGCAACGCAAACGTGAAGCATTGGAATTTGGACCAAAAGTTCATGAAATCACGATTCCATGTTTCCATGTTCCATGTGATAGTTTTTAACCCTATTACTGCTGGGCTTTCTGGACTATCATGGTGAGGTTACGTGACCTACCTGACCTATGTGACCCTTAGGGAAAATCCGAGATATATAAGTTGTGAGACCTCTGAAAGATACTCCTAAGTTTCAGAGCTATTGTAAAAAAAAAAAACAATATGGCACGTCACTCGCCCCCTCGGCCGGCGAGGTTTAAGCGTTCGGGAGACATCGCAAATATTCGTCAGGGGGTGAAAATCCCCCCAGGCCCGCGAAGGTTAACTATCCTGAAGATGGAAGCGACGGATTGGAGGGTAGCCAGACTTTTGCGCAGCCTTCCTAATGCCTCGACCGTCTCTTCAAGATCGATAGGTGTGTACGCGGTAACGTAATGCAGAAAGTCGTCGTTTTCATTGCGACACGAATATATTGTTTTTACTTTTTACGACAGGCATGGCGGACACAGCGCGCTCATGACCGCACAACAGGCGACGAGCAGGTACCAGCAGAGCATGTGAGAACGGACAGACCCGAACAGACTCAAGGACAGACCCGAACAGATTCGGACAGATCCGATAGCGGAGCCCGGCTGGACAGGGAAGACGGACTGGCAACCATCCTGACATCTGGCGACAGAACATCGTACTAAACGTTCACATATACAGGCAGTCACCACCCTTTGAGATCTTAAACAACAGAGTGAGCGAACAACAAAGCTATAATGATAATGGTCGGTGGGTCACTGTGTAGTGTGTATAGATGTGACAAAAGTTCTGGTCTAAGCATTGGTACATGTACCTATCGTCCACTAAATTTGAGATGAGCCAGTGTACCTAAAACAAAACTTATCTTCACTAATAGGTACTTACGAAATTAAATGCTATTAAAAACTTACGAGATTTCATATCTTCCAACCCAGGAGACACGATGTTGTACAAAATGCAACGGAACAACGGAACGATGTGAAGCGATGAATGCGCTGCGCAGTACAACTCATGGTCAATGACAATGGTGAATTCAATCAAATAGGCAGGTACAAATACGTTTACACGAAACTCTTCTATATATATATATATATATATATATATATATATATATATATATATATATATATATATATATATATATATATATATATATATATATATATACATATATGCATATATATATATATATATATATATATATATATATATATATATATATATATATATATATATAAGGAGGAACAGGAACAGGAAGGGGGAGGCGAACAGGAACAGGGGACACGCCCAGATTAGGGAGCAGAGGGGCGAGCGGGAGGCTAGACAGGGAGAGAGGACTCAGGAGGGAGAGAGACGTGATGATGTTCCAATTGGTGTGGACAGCTCGAGGGGACCTAACAACCGTGATAGACCACCTTCTGATGAGAGTATGAGGGACCGCATCGGGGTGGTTAATCTGTCTGATAGACATCTCACAGATGCAGAGCTGTCTCTTCTGGGTAAAGGGCTTTCTTTTGTGCCGACCAAACGCCAGACAGTAGCACAGCTAGTGTCTGAGTTGAAGGAGTGGGAGCGCCTGATGAGGCTCAGAGAATACTGGGACGGGGAGATAGGAGAACGGCAGAGTGGGCAGGCTGATATAGACGCGCGTTATAAAGAGTCAAGGTGGACACCACCGAAAGGGAGGGACCAGTGGCTAGACTTATACATTGAGGAAGTATCCACTGGTATCGTGAGAGGACTGAAAAAGAAAGGTAGGTCAAATCTCACTCAGGCCGAGAACGATGCTCTGCTCTCTCTGGTGAACGATGAGTCCATTGTTATAAGGCCAGCTGACAAGGGATCGTCCTTTGTGGTGATGAATACTAGCGACTACATCTCGAAGCTGGCGGGTGAAATTGAGGAGGGAGATGGATATGACAGGACCAACGGTGACATAACCCCTTCAGTAACGAAAAAGGTTACCAAACTCGCTGCTAAGATGGAGGGAAAAGGGTACATTGGCAAACATCAAAAGAAATACTTAATACCTCCAAGACCCACTCCGGGGGCCCTACAGGGTAACCCCAAGATCCATAAGGGTGGGGCCCCGATGAGAGCAGTAGTAAGCGGGAGGGGACATGCCACGGAAAGGATGGCAGAGATGGCAGAGAGCCATCTCACAGAGCACGTGGAGGCCCAAGCATCATACATCAGGGATACTACAGATTTCCTTGCAAAATTACGGGACCTAGGGCAGCCGGTAACAGGAAGGGGTGGAGGCAAACCACTACTTTTTTGTATGGACGTAGCGAAGTTATACCCCAGCGTCCCGAGAGATGAGGGAGTAGCCGCGTGCCGAGAGGCTTTAGACCAGAGGAAAACAGCTAAAATTCCCACGGAAGAGCTCCTTGAAGTCATACAGTTAGTTTTAGATAATAACAATTTCCAGCTGGGAGGGGATAACAACTATATTCAGACCGAAGGAACGGCTATCGGCTCAAAATTGGGAAGGAACTTTGCATGTACCTATATGGGTGCATGGGAGAAAACTCTACTGGAAAGGGCGTCCAACCAGCCAGACCGGTGGTACCGTTTCATCGATGACATATGGGGAATCTGGACCCACGGGGAAGAATCACTAAAATCCTTTCATCACCTAGCGAACCAAATTCATCCAAATATACAAGTAGACTTACGATTTTCGGATACAAAAATAGAGTTTCTAGATGTGGAGGTATTACTGAGCGAACTGGGCTATATCACAACAAATTTGCCTATCAAGCCGACCGATGCTCAGGCATACCTCCACTACACCTCAGACCACCCACCATGCGTCAAGAGGGCTATCCCCAGGGGACTGGGAGTGAGATTGAAACGGATCTGCTCAGATGAGAAAGATTACAGGTATCACAGGGACCGACTGGCAAACAGGCTGAAGGAGAGAGGGTACCCTG